AGAGAGAGAGAGAGAGAGAGAGACCTACTAACATCTGTCCTAATAGCATTCTGTGGAAAATATTTGATAAGTCCTGCCATGAAGTTCACATTCTATATACCTTTTGCATCTCTATCCCTTTTAATTCTCTTCTGTTTCTTGTGTCATGTTCAAAGTATATCTTTGAGTTACCTGAAACCCTTTCAAAACCAGATATGACAAAAATAAATAAATGAATAATAAACAAACATTGAGCTATATGATCTTGAGTAAGTAACATTCAAATTCCAGGCCCTGTTTCTTGCTTAAGGCATCAGCCATGTTAAACCACATAGAGCTAAAACATCTCAAGACTGCTTTCCAACCAGCTCTTCCTCTGTTCTGTTCCTTTAGGACAGAGCTTCATGAGCGGCTGACACTATTTCTGGTCAGTGTTCTTTTTTCACATAACATCAACCTTCTTTGACCAAGTTAACAGAGTGGGAAAGGGAGTCAGAGATGCCCACAGGTGAAGTGAGGATCAACCAGGGAAGTCCAAGTTCCAGAGGTCATGAGGATGAGGCGATCCCCTTTCAAAATCCAGGGAGGCCAAGGACAAAGGTCATTTAAATACATCAGAACTGTGAAAGCTGCTTGGCTATAGAAAGAAATTAATAGAAAGCTTGGTCTTTCTATCCTGAAATTTGTTCATTAAACATAAATTTATGGAGGGTTTACTGAGACCTGGCTGCCAGGACCTATGCCAGATGCTGATGAGCAGAAGGAATAAGACATGGTCTTTGCCCTCTGATAAATTGGTTTGCCTAAAAAGAGGGTAAGGACACTGAGAAAATATTATCAGTTGAAGTATATATACTATATTAAGGTGATCAGGTACTGTTGAAGATACTGGAATGGTGTCCACATTCTAGCTGACACTAGGTGTGAACCTGGTTCCGTGAGAGCAAAAAGAATGACTTCCTTTGGAAAGCCAGGAAAGACTTCACGGGGATGTATCCAGGTGGATATGGGTTTTACAAGATGCACAGAACTTGTCTGTAAGAAACACACACACACACACACACACACACACACACCACTGGAGAATGGTGCTAAGAAAGTAATTTTAGATAAAACAGCAGTATTTTAGACTGATAAGAAGTTTCGTACAGCTGAAGTACAGGGGTTTTGGAAAGTGAAGAGTGACAGAAGGTAAGCAAAAGCTGTACTAGATCTCTAATGGCCCAAAGCCAGAATGATCCTTTTAAATGAAAATCTGTTCTGCCACTCCCCTGATGAAGACCCATTAGTGGTTTACCATTCCTTGCAAAGATTCTTTATCATGATCTACTTGAATGAGGATTTCCCCTTGCTCATGTTTCTAGACTCACCTCATATCATTTTCTCTGTGGTTGTCTGCTGTCCCATTGTAGTGGCCTTACCACTCTTTTGAATATGCTAAACTCAGAGCTTTTGCTCATGCCATTTTCTCCACTCTTCTCCCGACTATAGCTTCTGTTCATCTTTTATATCATAGCTATAATGTAGCATCTCAAAAAAAGCAGTTATTCCCTTAGACTAATTCAATCTCTGTTAAGTGTCCTAACCCAACAGACCCTAGTTTCATAGTACTATTCTTCATATGATGTATCAGTACATTATATCATGATGTACCACATTATATTATATCATATTATAGTATAACACAGTATAATGCATTGTGTCACTGTGTATGGTGGTATGACAGTGTATACATTGTACTGGTGTTACATTGTATTGCTTTGTATCACAGTATATCCAATATTACAATATGTCTCATTGTATTGCAGTATATCACATCATATCCTATTTCAATGTCTCACATTGTATTGTGATATATCATGTTGTACTACATTGTATTGCATTTCATGTCTTTCTCTCACTGGAATATAAAATTCAAAATGTATTTCCTTTGTTGCCATTGTATTTTCCAGGTTCTAGAACAAAGCCTTATGCTTAGAAGAGGATCTGTTAAGTACAAGTAGGAAAAGTTGCATTCTTGATTACCATGTTGGACAGTCACAATGCATATTTACAGATTACAAACAAAACCACTATTGAAATTGGTTTAATCTCACTATTTTCCAAACATACTTACCTACTCCATAAGTCATTGGCATTTTGTTGGACACCTGTGTTCCAAGAAATATCATGACAGATACCATGTGATATGTTTTCCTCCTCCATCCTAAGAAGTACATGTCTGTAACCATGTTTCATGGCCCTGCCCTGCCCTAACCACCTGAGTGCTCTGGACTTATAAAGCAATGGGGAATAAGGAATGACTTCCTTTAGGAAAGCCAGGAAAGACTTGGAAGTCATCATGGTCCTTGTGTGAGTAGAGAAGAGGAAGTTGGTTTACAGAAAAAAAAAAAATAGAGCAATCACATGCAATAATGCCTTGGGCAGGGCTCCCATACTCTGAAAGGTCAGGAAAGACAACTTGAGTAAGAAGAACTGAAGAGGCATGCTTTGTCTAAAGAAATTCAAATTCAGAATTCTTTGAGCTAGTGGTTCTCAAACTGTGTTCTGCCAGCCTCATATAGGAACTTGTTAGAAATGCAACTCTTCAAGAGCTACCCCAAGAGATAGAAACTCTGGGGTTGACTCAGCAATCAATGTCTTTACAGCCCTTTGGATAGTTACACACTTCACACTGCTGGCCAAGCTGTAAACATCTGAGAAACAAATGTAACACACAGGCTGACAACTGGTGACCTTTGTTGAAAGCCAGAGAAACAATATAACAGTCTTAACTCACTAGTCTGGGTTGCATTCCCTTATACTGCCTAGTAATCTAAGACCTAGAACAATTCTTGCATGGTCTCAATAAATTCCTCTTTATGGTTAAGGTAGTTTGGTGAGATTTTTGTTGCTTGAACCCAAAGATTAAGCCACACAAAATAAAACAAACTAATAAACAAAAAATCTGGAGTTAAGTCCTGGTTTTGCTAAAAAATGAGCTGTGAGTCTTTAGACAAGCCTTTTCCTTCTGAGTCACAATCCTATCACCTACAAAATAATGGGGTTGGACTGGATAGCTGAGGCACCTTCACCTCTAATACGCTGACCAAGCCATTGGCACCTCTGGATAATCTCTTGGCTATGCAGATCCCTTGAGTAAGTTCCATAAATTTAATTAGTTCTACTCATTGACTCCAGGGAATTAAAATAGTTAACATAGAAAATTTAAAAAGAACTCCAGTTCTGTATGTCTTTCTTTCCCTGTCTGTTCAAAGCACATTCTATTAATTAAAAGAGGTTTCAAATGAGATGAGATTATTCCTCCTCCTCCTCCCCCCCCCCCGCACCCCTCCTGAGACATGGTCTTGCTATATTGCCCAGGCTGGCCTTAAATTCCTAGGCTCAAGCTTATTGAGCTTATTGCCAGGTATGCACTACCATGCCTGGCAATAACCTTTTAATAAGGCTTATTTGATGTTCCAATTCTTTTGCAACTTAAAATTAAATTTTAGCACATTACAATTAGTCTAACTTCAGTTAAGGCTGTTGTTCACATAAATCAAATGTATATAGTAATAGAACCAAATTCTATTTGCTAAAAAATATTTCAATTCATTTGAACAACTAATCTTAAATGAAATGGCAAAGCATTTTAAAGATTCTAAACAAGAAAAAAGGTTTCAATAAAAGCAGCCTAAAAGTCCTTGAGTAAATAGTAAGATCATCCTCTATTAAGACCCTAAATTCTACATTATATAACTTCTTAAGGGACAAAAAATTAAAAACTAGTATTGTTTTCACCTTTAGATTCCCACCCCAGTAGTCTGTTTTCTGATGCTGAAATGAAAACAGTGACCAAATTCTTTGATGAATAACTCATTACAATGAGAACTGACAGCTTCCAAAACAAGACAAAGATTTTCTGTATCTCTCAGATGCCAGAAAAAGCAAAGGAAATATTTCAGTCTAATACCCAAGAATGAACTCTACATTTGCACCTTAAATAATAACTGCTTTTGAAATGATCACACTTAAGTATGGTTTTTAAAGAGCAAAAATAAAAAATAATAATTTAAAAAATATCTTCAAGGCAGAGAAAAGGGGAAAAATACTATTGAGAGGAAGAAAATAAAGGAAGAAATCTTTCAACAAAGTAGAAACTGTTAGTCTCTCTGTGTCCCTGAAAGGTTTTGATCCAACCCTATTTGTTATCCTAGCAAAGCTCTTCTGAAGAAAGGTCTCAGTGTAAGAACTGCTTGAAAGAAGCCAACCCCTTGGAAGTAGGAACGGCTTGGCCATTTATTAATGTCAAATATGCTGCCTGCATGAATTAGTCAGCTTGTCATTTGGAAGCCATACAGAAAAGTCCTCATGCACCTGCCTCTCAGTGTCCCAACACTTCTGGCTTTAATGACAGCAGTAACAACCACCAGAAAAAAAAAAAAATTAAAGCCGAACATAACTACATTCTTCTTTCTGAATAGCTGATTTGTCTATTTTTTAAGACTTTTTACTAAAGTATCATCAGTAACCCAATACAGAGATTGTTCAGATTTAAAGTAAAAGGCAAAACAGTCATTTTCCTAAACTGGCATGATTTAGCCAAATTACCACAAAACTGACATTAGAAACAAAGAGAAATAGAGCTGGAAAAGGCCAGATTTTCTTACTGGCAGAACCACAGTGGCAAATATCCCAGAACTTAGGAAAGCTGCCAAGTAGAAGAGAGAAAATTAAAGGACTTTCCCAAAACAGCCAAGCCCAGGGCACACTATATTCCCAACAGCTGGAGTGAGCTTCAGAAGCAACACACAGGTATAAGGTCCAGCCTTATTCTTTATTTACAGCACATTTTAAAGTCATTAAATCAAGTACAAAAGGAATGACCCCATTTCCTGGATTAGCATCAGACATTCTTCCTACCAGCTGCACTTACGTCATTTTTATCTATCTTCTGCTTTTCCTTTTGGTGAGTAGGAATGGGGACTTGCATATGGCAAAAGAGATTTCAATCTCAGAACTCAGAATTCAAATGCCTACTTGCAGGGAAACAAAGGAAGTGACTCTCTTTTGAAAGGCAGTGAGAAACTCTGCTTGAGTTATGAGGGCCACTGATGGTGTGGGAGGCATCATGATGAGATTTCTTCCTGTAGGTGATGCATGCAGGTTGACTACCCGGGCTACAACATTGTTGGGATGGCAACACCTCCATCACCCTCTCTTCTATCTCAACCTGGGCACCAACCAAATCTAATGACAAATGAGGGGAAGTTATTACACATAGAAAACCAAAGTGAATGGGAATATGGGTGTATTGAACATAAAAGAAGAAACTATAAATGATCAAAAGTTGCTCAGGACTGCCTTCTGACATTGTCATGGAAATCTTTGATCCATCGCTTCATGTGTTCAATTTCCAGGGCACGTGCTAATAGCACAGATGTAGGATCCAAGGGATTGTTGGCTCTAAGATCTAAATGATGGGCCCCCTCCTTGATGGTGACTGCAACCAGGGTGTCTGTGATGTCTTTGGTTACTCCACCTCCTGACCAGGGGTCCAGATCACCATTGCTGTGAATAAGGGAAAGAAAAAATGAGGCTGTTAGCTACACTTAAATAAAATAGGAGAAATATATTATATGCATAACACCAAAAATTATAAACCTTTAACTTGGGGGATTTGATCTGAGGATCTAATTGTCTTACAGAAAGGTGATTCCCACTGAAGTTTTCTAATATTTCTTAAAAAAAGAAAAAAGAACCAAAGAAGACTATATTTGGTGCTTCCATGAATCAATCTAGACTATACTAGGACTTGGAATTTAGAAGACTGAATTCCAATCCCAGCTCCATTATTCAAAAGTTTTGTGACTCTAGTTACCGGACTCAGTTTTCTTATCTGTAAAATCGAGAAAACAAGATCTACCTCATAATATTATAAATATTAAACAGGATGGTGTATTTGGACGTCTTCATAAGCACAAGGATCAGGCACATATGAGTTCCTCGATTAAAGCTTTCTTTTCTCCTAGGATCAAACTTCCAAAATGAAAAAACAATAAAATCTCCATAGTTAAAAATGTAAGTTATCTCAGCTCAAAGAAAAAGAAAGCTGTAAAAGAATTTTTTTTGTTGTTGTTGTTGTTGTTGTTCAGTACAGTACTTTGGGAAATAAGCTGGTAGAACTGAAAAAAAGTCCCCAGAATCTGGAAACAGAATATCTGGTCATTATTTAAAGATCTTCATTTTGGATTAACTTTAAAGTTCAGAAAATGCTTCTAGGTTATTAGTCTCACTCACAAAACACACTTCAAAATGATATGAACAGGATGTCATTGCAACAGATTGTATAGTTTAGCTGAATTTTTAAAAGAAAGGTACAACCATAGATGACATCCCTAATAATATTTTTGCATAGCTTTGTTGAGATTTAATTCATATACCATAGAATTCATCCATTCAAAAATGTAGAGTTCAAAGCTTTAGTATAGTCAGAGTTATGCAACTATCACCACTATTAATTTCAGAACATATTCATCACCTCAAAAAAGAAACTCATACACATTAGCAGTCACTCCCCATTCCTCCAACCATATCTTCTCTTAACCACTGGCAACCACTAAACTACTTTCTGTTTCTATATGTTACCTTCTATTTCATCTAAATGAATTGTATAACAGGTAGTCTTTTTAATTTTTTTCTTTTGCTTGGTCTAATATATTCCAATTTCATCCATGTTGTAGCACAGATGAGTATATAATTTCTTTTTATTGCCAAATAATATTTTATTGTACAACTAATAAATGGATAATAAAATAGTATATTTTATTATCCATTTACCAGTTGATACATAATTGTATTATTTCCATTTTGGGGCTATTAAGAATATCACTCCTACAGACATTCTCAAAGACAAGTTTTTGTGTGGACACAGTTTCATTTATCTTGGGTATAGACCTAGAAATGGAATTTCTGGAACATATGGTAATTTAAGCAATTATGTATATGTGTGATCCTGGGGATCAAACCCAGGACCTTGTGCATGCATTTCCTCAATGAGCAAGTGATCTACCACTGAGCTACAACCCCAGCCCTCTTTTAATGAACTGCCAGACTGCTTTCCCAAAGTGGCTGTTCTATTTTACATTCACACTAGTTACATAAGAGGCTTTTAATTTCTCTATATATTCATCAATACTTAATATTATCTATCTCTTTTTATTATAGCCATGTTATTGGGTATGACACATTATCTCATTGTGAGTTTGTTTTGATGCTTCGGATTGAATCCAGGGGCCCATGCATGCTAAGCACATGCTCTACCACTGATCTACACCCTCAGCCTTCATTGTGGTTTTAATTTGCATTTGCCAAAAAGCTGATGGCATTGAACACCTTTTCATGTGCTAATAGGCCATTTGTATGTATTATTGGGGAAAATGTCTATTTAGATCTTTGCCTGTTTTTTAACTGGGTTATCCATCTTTTTATTTTTGTGTGTTTTAGGAGTTCATTTGATATTCTGGATATAAGTCCTTTATCAAATAAATATATGATTTGCAAACATTTTCTCTCGTCGTAACATTTACAGCAAGGTTTTTTATCTTGATGAAATCCAATTTATCTTTTTTCTTTTGTTTGTGTTTGGCTATTTGTTTAAGAACTACTATTTAGTTCATGATCACGAAAATTTATTTCCAAGTTTTCCTCTAAGGATCTTGCAATTTTACCTCTTGTATTTTGGTTCTTGATCTATTTTGAGTGACTTTTAAAATATGATATAAAAAAGGATCCAACCTCATTCTTTTGCCTGTGGATGCCCAGTTTTCCCAGGATTATTTGTTGACAAAAGTAATAATAAGTTATTCTTTCCTCAATGAGTTATCTTGGCACTCACATTGAAAACCAATTGACAATACATGTAAGAGTTGACTTCTGAACTCTGAATTCTCTTTCATTGATCTATACATCTATCCTTATGCCAGTATCATACTATATTGATTAATGTCACTTTGTAATAAGTTTAAAATTAGTAAGTTTAAGTTCTTCAAATTATTCTTCCTTTTCAAGATTGTTTTGCATATTATGGGTGTTGCATTTCTATATGAACTTTAAAGGCAGCTTCTCAATTTCTATTAAAAATGCTAGCTGTACAAATTAGAATAAATTTAAAAAATGCTAGCTGGGATTTTGATAGTGATTGCACTGTATCTGTAGGTCAATTAATTTGAGGGGTACTGCCATCTATAGTGAATGCTTACAATTTTATTTTGCCTTGGGATCCATTTTAAATACAAGTTGAACTTTGTTGTATAAGAAGCAGGGCTGTCATCTTTGATGTCAATTTCCAGTTCTCTATACACCCCCAAACCCCAGTTCCCCAGTGTGGTTGATCCAGATATCTCTATAGAACTGCTCCCTGAAAATCACTTCCCCATGGGACAGCGAGATATAGCCTGCTTGATTGCCTGTTGGCCCTCCACACCCTGTGTGGATTGTTAAGGCATGACACAATGACTACCTCTCAGTCACCCTATGACCTCCTAGAATTCACCCTGTTAGCTTTAAACTTGCCAATTAAAATTCCCCATGGGAAACCTGTTTGGATAATGCCCTGGATCCAATAAAGACATTAGCCCACAAGTCCCTTTTCTCTCTCCCTGCCTAAACTCTCTGACTTCCATGGGTGTGGCTTCTAGATGTTCCACACAAACCCCAGTTTTTATAAGTACAGAAGCTCTTAAACTTTCACTCTGTGGGCTGAATTACTGAAACTATGCTCAAAATACAACCCCTTATGGAGAGGCCACCCCAATGGGACCCATGTAGGTGGTTCCCTTGTGGGTACTCCCTTGTCCAGCCTCTGGTGTCTGCTAGGGTCATTAGCTACCAGGTAAGCTGATACGGAAACTATAAAAGTTTCATTCAAAACAGTATTACTTTTTTCAATGCATGAACAGGAAATGTCTTTGCATTTAAAGGAAGATATTTTTAATGTCTTTGAATTTTGTAGGTTTTAGTGCACATCTTATACTTCTTTTGTTAAATTATTCCTACATATTTCATTCCTGATACTACTTTAAGTAAAATTGTTTCTTAGTATTACTAACTCTATACATGCATAAAGTGGTTTGGATTTTACAGAGTTTTTCACATTTGATCATTATAACAAACCTACAAGTAGGTTTAATAACAACCCTTTCATAGATGAGAAAATGAATGCCCCGAGAGGTTAAAAGCCTTGTCCAAATCATTCAGCTTGTTAAATTAGAGACTCAAAATTCAAATCTTATAACCCTAGTCCATTGCTCAGTTTTATATTATGCTACATTTCATAGACATATGATTGATTCTGGAAGTAGCACCCATCCTCTTAACTTGTATGGTCAGAGCAAAAAGAACTTGAGCATTGGGGTCACACCACCTAGGTTCTTGTCCCAGGTCTTCCTCTCACTTACCTAATTTCATGGAAACTCAGATTCCTTAGGATAAAACTGGCACTAAAATACCTAGATCTAAGTACCCAGTCCATGGCAAGTTCCCTTTTCATGGCACCTCTTGGCATACCTTCACATATCACTTGAGATCACCTCAACAACATTTTGTGATGTGTTTTGATATCTATTTAATACATGCTCTTCTTTTCTTGTATTATTTACAAAGCCTGAAATTTTAAAAAATTTGTCATGGCCACATTATCAAATGTATTAAATTATTCCCATAATGTACATAATCATTAAAAAAAAACCTCTTGGAAAAAGAAACACTTTTATACTGTTGATGGGACTATAAATTAATATAACCACTATGGAAATCAATATGGAGGTTCCTCAAAAGACGAGGCATAGAACCACCCTAAAAACCAGCTGTACCTACTCCTCTGCATTTATCGTACAGAATTAAAGTCATCAAACTACAGTGATATATATATATATATATCACCCATGTTTAGGTATAGAAGCGCAATTCATAATAGCAGAACTGTGGAACCACCCTCGGTGTTCATCAACAAATGAATGGATAAAGAAAATGTGGTATATATACACAATGGAGTTTTATTCAGCCATAAACAAAAATAAAATTATGTCATTTGCAGGAAAATGGATGGAACCAGAAACCATTATGTTAAGTGAAATAAGCCAAATCAGAAGGTCAAGGTTCACATATTTTCTCTCAGATGTGGAAGCCAGAGAGCAAAAAGGAAAAGAAAGGTGGTGCAGGGAGGGACAGGGAATCTCATGAAAATCAAAGGAAGATTAGTAGAGGAAAGGGACTAAGGGTTAAGAGGTGAGGAGAGATGGGGAAATTGCTGGGGGTGATATTGGTCAAAAATTTTTTTTTAATATTTATTTTTTAGTTTTTGGCGAACACAACATCTTTGTTTGTACGTGGTGCTGAGGATCGAACCCGGGCTGCACGCATGCCAGGTGAGCGCGCTACCGCTTGAGCCACATCCCCAGCCCCAATATTGGCCAAATTTTATTGTTATATTGTGTGCAAGTATGAATATAATGCACCAATAAAAAATGTCGAATGCCCCCACCTCCAGGACAAAACTCTTGGCTATAAGT